CCTTGACCTTTGCTCCTGGCAGAGAGTCCAAAATGCTGGGCCTGAACGTGCGAACGAACGGCGGTGAATATGGCACCGCTATCGGTTATGACTTTGATACCAATGAGATGTTCGTTAATCGCGAATCATCTGGTGATTCTTCGTTCAGCGCCTCATTCTCGGGGGTATACTACGCTCCGCTGCCTGTCAGGGATGGAAAGGTTAAACTACGCATTCTGTTGGATTGGTCGTCGGTTGAGGTCTTTGGCGGGCGTGGCGAAGAGACGATAACAGCACAAATCTTTCCTCCGGATTCAAGCACGGGTGTGTCACTCTTTTCTGTCGGTGTTGTGAAGGACGTGAAGATAGAGGTGAATTCGGTATCGTCTGCGTGGAGAGGGTCGGATTGATACAGAGCATTGCAGAGAACATAGGCAATAGGAGCAAGCCAGAAGAGATAGAGACTGTAAATCCATCCGTGGCTATTAACACAGGACAATTAGCTCCATATGTACCTGCAAGCCTTCTAAAATATACTTGTTACGGGCACCTCTATCCTTCCTAACTTTAAAGTTTCATTAAACCAAGAGATTTACATAAAACAATCTCTGAAAAAAGCAATAGAATTATTGCATGAATAGATTAATGGACCTATGCCCCTATAGTAGACATGTCTATGGACGTAGGCGAGATTTCGGCACTGACCTGATGCGCACGTTCCTCCTGGTGTTGTGGTGGGATCATCTCGCGGATGTACGTGTGCATTCTAGCGGGATCATCATGCAGGACGATGACCAGTAAGAGGGCCTGTTCGGGTGTCAAGCTAGATTATTGGGAACACAGCGACATACTTTACGGCAATTTAATTTGTTTCACATTATACTAACACTCTTACGGGCCGATTCGTGATCGTAAGCGAGACCTCCACACGCTGGGACGTACCTTGGTTTCTTGACTAATAATTACAGCCTATAGGTAATATTGAAAGGAGATTGTTTGGTCTATGGTTGAGATATTGACACGATTTACTTGTCTAAATGAGATGCATCGGGCCAATACACTGGGGGGAATCCCAATCAACTGAACCTTTTGGTAGTCGATTATCGCAACATCACATCGCTTAATTAAGGGTCACCAGGTCCTACATTAAATAGTCACACTCTTCGAATACACACTTCAGATTCAGACACTTTATTAACAGTGTTACTTTTTTTCTCTATGAATGGCGTACCACTTCCATAATCCACGCCGTTATCTAGTTCTTTCCAAGCTCCTTAGCACGGTCGGCAGCAGCCTTGACAGCCTTGTCCACGATCTCCTTGAGGCCAGAGTTCTCGAAGCTAACAAGAGCAGCATGGGTAGTGCCGTTGGGGCTGGTGACGTTCTTTCGCAGTTGAGCGGGCTCATCAGAAGACTCAACAAGCATCTTTCCAGCACCAAGACATGTCTGCGTAGCGAGACGAGTAGCCTGCTCTTCAGAGAGACCGAGACCAACACCGCTGGAGATGAGATGCTCGACGAAAGCGAAGAAGTAGGCGGGTCCAGAGCCTAGAAATGTTAGCAATGGCAATACCATAACATTTCATGATGAACTTACCAGAGATACCAGTAACGACATCAAGAAGCTCCTCCTTATCAACCCACTCAGCAGCCTTGCTCACGCTCCCCAAAAGCGCAGACGTCAACTCCTTCTCCTCCTTGGTAACATCCCCCGCCGCATAAAGTCCACTCGCTCCCTCGCCCACAAGCGCAGGCGTATTCGGCATAACACGCACAATATGCGGCGCCTCGACCGCCTCACCCTTGAACCACTGCGCAATGCTCTCCAGCGTAATACCCGCCGCGATAGAGATAACAACAGGGAGACTATCCCTCTTGGCCCAAGCAGAGCTGAGCTCCTCGCAGACACCCTTTGCGACCTGCGGCTTCACAGCGAGGATGACCACATCAGCGTCGGCGGCGGCTTCTTTGTTGTCGGCGGTAGTCTTGACGCCTAGGTCGGCCATCTTGTTGCGGTTGACATCCCAGGGCTCGGAGACGTAGATGTTGGATTTGGGGATGTTTTTGGCGAGGAGACCGCCGATGATGGCGGCGGCCATGTTGCCACCGCCTAGGAAGGTGATTTTGGCGTCTTGTAGTGAGGGAGTCATTGTGTTTGTGTTTGAGAGAGGGAGGGAGATGAGATTGGTGGTGGTGTATTTATCGTGGGGTTGAAGTTTGGTGATACGTAAAAGTTTGGGGCGATGGCCGACCCCGCATCGGATTAACCCTGCGCTACCCTTTTAGCTTTGGCGATGAGCGATAACGGCCTGGAATGACTGGCGTGGAGAAGCAATTCGTGACACATTTGATAGCTTTTCATCGGCATGAAAGAGAAAAATTGATGTTCTTATTAATAACTAATTTTCTTAAAATATTATCAGGATTTTAGTATTCATCTTTTCTTCAGCGCTCCGACTTCCACCTCAAACTCGTCGATAATTTCCAACTAACCTTCTTATTTATACACTCTACTCATCACATCTGCTGAGAATTTTCTCAAGTTTAAATGTCCTCCTTCTCTCTTGATTAGTCCACAGATAGACGGAATGCTAGATCTGGGTAATGATTATCGAGCTACCTGAGTAAATCTTTGCCAACCCCACGCACTGCCGCTTAGAGGCGGCATTGTCATGAACGAGTGATAAGATAAGAGCAAAATGCTGAGAATGACCCAGCGCATTCGGAAGCTACTATCCTGACTCAATAAAGGCGATAGATCGGAATTTACATAAAGATCAAGGTACTCTTGGGTGGGTTTGTTTTAATTAAGAATAAAATCTCACTGATGAATTGCTTGCAAATATCCTGGCGACAATTTAGGCAACCCTCGGCAGCGACCTTGCGAACTCAATGTTATAGGGTTGTAAATAATCAGAAGCTTACTGGATATTGCATGTAGATTGAATTTACCAAGGAAGAGAGCCTTTTAAACCCAATACAGTTTGCCGATTTAATTAAAGCCTTGCTTCTTTTGAGCATCGAGATATCACTTGGATTAATTTCTGATCTTTTGTCGTAGGGTAGTTTCTTGCTCCTTATCCTTTATCGATAGCAACGTCACTGATAACAACCTGAAGAAACAGCCCATGATGATATCTTGATGTTATTCCTATTATTCTAAAATTATCACAGTAGATAATTAAGACAAAACAATTATTCTGTGTCAATTCTTCTTCTGCCTACCGAATGATATTGGCTAGTTATGCATTTTACAGCGAACTCTTATCTGGGAACTTGCGGAACATATCAGCCAGCTTATCGATAGGCGCCGCCATAAGTCCCATAACCGACTCAAACGGCGGATTCTCTCCAGCGCTGGGATGACTCCTCGTCGGCACAAACTGCTTCGTACGCGCAAACTGCGTCGCCAAACTCTCCGTCTCTTGATCCTGCGATTTAATCGCCTGTTCAAGAGCAGGTAAATCCCGGTTCTCTTCTTCTTCAATGTGTTTCTCTAGCAAACCCCAGATTTCTTTGATCCTGGGAAGATACTCAGGATCTTGGGCTTTGAGATTCTGGAAAACCTTGAGAAGCTCCTTGACCTGTAAATTGTTAGTAAAGTGGTGAAGTGGAAGGGAGGTGAAGGTACCTGATGGTGCTCTTGACGATCTTCATCAGCTAACTGTTTTCCCTTGTCGCCCATGTATTTCTCCATAGCTGGATAGACAATGAGTTCTTCGCCGATGGAATGGCGTGCAAGTTCCCAGACGAACTGATTACCGAAGCGCTGCTGGTGATCGTGGTCGGTGGAGTTGACTACTTCATTATAGTAGTCCTTTAGCTCACGATGGTCTTTAACAATGGCGTCTGAGACAGCCGACATGGCTGCGACTTGGAACTGAATGGGTTTCTGGAAAGTGCGGAAGTGCTGGAGTCCGATAGCTGCGCGGAGCTGAGGAGTCAAAATGGCACGGATTGAAGACATGAGTATCAACTATTATGTCTCGGAAATTGAGTAGAGTTCCTTTTTTAATTTGATAAGTATTTGAACCTTCTGGAAAAACCCCCCTTCCTACGTGTATACATATAAGCCGCGAGTGAACACCATGACGGAGAAATGACCAGCTTCACTGGCAGCCACTGCTCTCTCCGTGACGATCCTCCAGCGACCAAATGACGGATTGTCCAACACCAGAAATGATGCCGCTGACGATGCTTCGACCGACACCCAATCAAACTACAGGGTATCGTAACTGCATGCTTATGATTCGTTTTGTCTTAACCCCAGAGGGAGAATCCATCTCACCGGGCCTTTAGCTCCGGGGCCGGGCGGCACCGTTGTCTCTGATAGGGTGTTGGCGTGATCGATTCTCGATCAATATTTACCGATTGTGACGGAGAAATTACCCCGAGATTTCATCGGGTACGCGGCTGCAACGAAAACTTAATCGGAAAGAGAGTTTTTAACAATTTTGGAATGTCAAATTGGACATTCAGTCACATCGACAGCGAGTTGAGCATCGCAACATTGGCGGTAACGGCGTAATTAGAGTATAATTACGCCCGATAACAAATTATTGATTCAAATGAATTGTTACCTTTAGTAGACGATGGTACGTGAAGACTGGATGGAAATCAAATCCTACATAAAAATCGCCCAAGCATTACGCCATAGTCAAGTCACAGCTACGCCAACGACTTTCCACGGATCAACCCGCCCGTCATAGCTGGTATCCACTCCCCGCCGGTGATACAACGTCAAGCCACTTTTATTTCCATAGTCATCATGTCATTGACTCAATCTTTTGGAATCATCGACCTTGTCCCCCTAGTAATTCCATGTACAGTGAGTTACTTGACGGCATGATTACGAACTACATGGCGGAACAATTGATAATGATCTCTACGCATCATAGTGGAGAAATGCACATCGGTAGTTGAACAGGTAGTTGCAAGATAGCCGATGAACACACATAAAATGCTAGATCTGCTCGTGCATATTCCCAACTGCATTCGACATCATTTCTTTCTGATTAATCATGTCGGCCACTTCTTTCTTCCGAAGTGCGATACTCCTCGCTGCAGTGGGTGCTGCCAATGCAGTACCTGTTGTTTCAGAGGCTCAAACAACAGTCTCATCCTCTGGTCCAGCTGGCACACCCCGTCCCTACAGCTTCGTGACTTCTCACGGCCCCTTCAAAGGAACACCTACCACCACCGGTGCACTCTCAACTACAGTTCTTGCCTCAGCCATTCCTGAGCGTCCTCCTCCCCCGGGATCTTTCGACTATCCCGCCAATGGCAAACTCAACGCTCCTCAGCCTGCACCCTACACTCCAGACGGCGGTGTTGGCACGAACGGCTCTGCGCCTGTATATCGCGTACAAAGCGACTTTGACTACCAATCTCTCGCTTTGGCTCTGTATCAAGAGTGGATTGAACTCGATCTCTTCCGCTGGGGTCTCGCCACTTTCTCAAAGGAAGAGTTCGACGCGTACGGCATCAACGATGAGGACCGTTTCTTAATCGAGCACATGGCTCGTCAAGAAATCGGCCACGCAACTGTAATCAGCAACATGCTCGGCCCCGAAGCCCCGAAGCAGTGCACGTACAACTACCCCGTCTCCAACGTCCCCGAGTTCATCGACTTCAACCAGAAGCTCACGCGCTGGGGCGAGTCTGGCGTTTACGGCTTCCTGCCGCACTTGAATTCTGGACCTGCGGCGCAGTTGTTGCTGCAGAGTATTACCATTGAGGCGAGGCAGCAGATGATCTTCAGACAGTTTGGCGGTACGTTTGCTATGCCGGAGTGGCATACACCTGGTATTCCGCAAAGCTGGGCGTGGACTTTGTTGGCGCCGTATATTTCGAGCTGTCCTTCTAATCAGACGAGACTTGTCTGGCAGAACTTTCCGTCGCTGAATATTCTCAACCAGCCTAACCCTGCGCGCATCAATGGGTCTGCTGTTTGGAATGAGACGACTGGAGGATATGCCAATACTTTGTCTACGAAGGACATTGATAAGGATGAGCTCTGTGTAAACGCTACTGAGACCGGCGAAAATTGCAAGGCTGCGATTACTCACAACCGCACCATCCCTCTGTCCTACCCCGGCCGTCAGGTCTTCCTGAACTGGGATGCACCCGGCAAGCCCGTCGGTCCCAACAACAGCTACATCACCTCCACCAACGTCAAGGAGCCCAAGTTTGCTGCGTGGGTATCTCAGCTCAACGTCACATATTCTCCTCTTCAGAACATCAGTCTCGAGGACAGAACGGCGTACACCATCCAGCCTAATGTCTCGACTTGGCAGGGTGATCCCGCTATCAACGGAACTATGTTCCTTGCTTTGACGGATACGGATCTCTATGTTACGCCTTATAACCTTACGATGATTAACCCTCACGTTGCTGCTCTCGCTGTTTACCAGGCTGGTTAGATAAGTAATGGATGGAGTTTAGCTTTAAGCATTTGTGATGGCTGGGTGATGGATATGACTCATGGACTTGTTTAATACTATTCTTCGTGTACAATACCACTGTTTAATGATATTCACATATTTAACTGAAAAAGTCCCGAAATGATGAAACTCAATTGCGTGACTATAATGAATGCTACAAACAATTTCCCTTGCGACTGTGACTCAGATGTCGTCATAACCGTATAATCCTTCCTCTAACCCCTTGATCTGCAGCGCCAACAATTTAGAGTAGTATCGGCACATAGCCAGGTTACCTCCATGATACCAAAATCCAGGATGTCCACTCTTCTGCCAAATAGTCCTCATCTCGCCCTCGTCATTAAAGCCCCAAACATCTTTCACCTTGTCTGCAATTGCATCGCCAAACATGACCCTCGTCTGCGTTCTCATGTTCTGATATCCCGTCGCAAACACAATCTCATCAGCCTCAAGCTCCGAACCATCCGCGAATCTCAATCCGTGAGGCAAAACAGTCTCGATCTCTTGTCCGTGCTTGACCTTGATCTTGCCGTCGGCGATGAGCTGAGAAGCACCGACGTCGATGTAGTAACCGCCTCCGCGCTGGAAGTACTTGAGCAAGAGCCCGGCGTCATCGGGACCCGCATCGGTCTTGAAACCAGCTTTGTTGAGACCGGAGAGGATCTCCTTGTCGAAGTCTGCTTGCTTTTTGGTCGTTGTGACGGAGAGGGCTTTGAACACAGGGATGGGAAGGCCGTGGATGAGAAGATCAGCGTCATCGACAGGGGGACCGTCTTCGGAGTAAACGCCCTTGAGACTAATGTCGGTGATGGCCTTGGAGGAAACGACGTGGGTGCTGGAGCGCTGGACCATGGTGACGTCGTAGCCCTTCTCGAGGAAGTCCTGAGCGATGTCGTGGCCGGAGTTGCAAGATCCAACAACAATGGCCTTCTTACCCTGGCTGTTATCACGAGCACCAGAGAACTCGGAAGAATGGCAGAGACGATCACCCTTGAAGTCGGAAATACCCTTCATGTCAGGCATGTTCTTTTTACCAGAGTGGCCAGTAGCCTGGATAAGATGTCTGGGGTGCAGAGTTCGTCGCTCCTTGGTACCATCATCCTTGGTTCGCTCAACAGTGACATCCCATCGCTTCTTAGCATCGTCCCACTTTGTCTCAACGAGGGAAGTCTTCATCCAGATGTTGAGCTCAAGAAGAGTGGCGTAGGCTTCGAAGAATTGAGCGAGCTTATCCTTGGGTGTGAAGATGGGCCATTGGGGAGGAAATTGGAGATATGGCATATGGTCGTACCAAACGGGGTCGTGGAGAACCAGTTGGTGGTATCGCTTGCGCCAGTTGTCGCCTACGCGATCGTTCTGGTCGATGGCGAGGGCTTCGACACCGAGCATCTTGAGACGAGCAGCGGCTGTGAGACCAGCTTGACCGGCACCTGAGACTGTTAGCTATCACGTACAATTTATCCTTGTAGAATAAGTGTTACTTACCAACGATCAAAACAGCAGGTTCGCTGCCATCGGCGAAATCAGCCTCAGCTTCTCGTCGCTGCGCCCAGTTCTTTCGCCCAGGCTTTCCACCATGCTCAACACCACGCGATCGATGATCATTAATCGCCTCTTCAAAGCCCTTCAACTCCTGAATTCTCGTATAAAACGTGAAAATCTTCCACTCGCCATTCTCCTCAATCAACCGCGCCAGACCCAGGCCCTTACCGCGCACAGTCTCAATCTCGAAAAAGAACTGTACGCCCTGGACTTCACCAGCGCCATCAATAGGCAGGAACTGGGGCTTTCGCACAGGAGCTGAGCTGTCAACCTCAATCTTGGTCAGGCGAAGACCATCCTTTGACTCGGAGCAGGACTTGAGGAATGAGAGGACGTTGGAGGGGCCTTGGACGGTGCGGAAGTTCCAGGATAGGGCGAGGTGATCGCGCCAGAAACCGTCTTCGGAGAATAGACGAGCGACAGCTGTGAGGTCTTTGTTCTTGAGGGCTGTGTTGAAGGCGGATACGAGGGAGGTGGCGATTTCTTGGGGGTTTGAGGAGGAGGGTTTTTTGGTTGCGGAGGGGAACTTTGCGAGGGCGATGTTTGTTGAGCCTGGGACTGCCCAGGCTCGGGAGGTCCGGGGGATGCTCTGAGGAATGACGTCGCCCATTGTGAGTGTTATTGAGAACTACAAATGTGATTGTTGAACTGAAGAGGGTTGAGAATGAGAGAGAGAGAGTTGATGATGGAGTGAACAAAGAGGGGAAGATGGTTGGGTTTAAGTAAGGCAGCCTCAAGTGAAACATGCATAACCAAACACAAGCCGACAATTTGCAAGCCCGCTCGCTCGCTGATCGATGTTACATTTCCCTTTGCAATTGGACTATTCCTGTCAAACTCTCCTGCTGTGCTTCCCCACGTTTCCCTTTCCCGCCAACTGTTACTGCCCCTCCCCCGCTCAAAGCCCCGCACTTTGTCGAGCGGTTCCGACTACGGTCCCTACTCTAGCGGAATCGGCTCCGGGAGATCCTTCCGTTGGCGGTTCCGTACGATTCGGTGCTGAGGAGGAGTAAATCTGGGGTAGTAAATCGTGAGGCTGATGGCCGGGGATGAGGATGTTTTGAATGTTGAGATGATGATAGTTGAGGGGAGGCTGTCGGCAAATGAAATTGAGTTTGGCGGACGGGCTGCTTCACCGGCCGGTATCGGGTCATCCCTGCAGATACGACTACAGAGTTTTAATTCGATGCATGCAGCTGTTCCTGGTGAAGTTTCAACGGTGAATCCTACAACTCTTGACCGCAAGATGAAGGTTCTTCAGATAGAAATCCCTAGATAGAACTCTAATACTAATGCCGAAGCGACTGTCGTTTAAATTGGCCGTCAATTAAGACCCTTGCATAAGACCCTTGGAAAAGGCCGAGTTGATGCCATTCAGTACATGGAATGAAGTTACATAGCGTGCCATTTAGATCTGCTTACATCTCTTGGCAGATGAGGCTCTCGGAGTGACGTCTAGGATCAGCTTATTCTTGGACTGGTCAGCATCCTCCCCCTTCGGGAAAGATGAGACAAGATTACTGGTAAGCTGGTGATGTTAGTGCTTATCGGCATTGTCATTTGTAAAAAAAAAATCTAGGAATTAGCTTTTGATATGCTATAGAACCGTGTATGTCCTTATCCCAGTGGTCCAGCGCAAGGCTGATCCTGTTCCCTCATACCGTCGGACAAATTGAGGATCGGTGGCTATCTATTCTGCTGTACTACGCGATAGTGGTTCGCCTCGGGTCTGCCGGTAAAATGGTAAATGCTGTCTGGACCGGCCTGTGGATTGTTGCATTCGCAACGTCGTGATTATTTCGGGACAAACATTGTTCGTCTTCACCTCCAGCTGCTACTTGTCTCCAATTTTCATGAAATGTGTAGCCCTGACCAGGGCTTCTAGGCCACTCGTTTGCACTTCTCGAATACAGATTCAAGGTGCCTACAAGGGTTGATACATAGAACAGTTCTTTAACTGAGCACATTGAACTCGCTTTAGCTAATTACTGTATACGATAAAGCTATTACGAGGGATGTGATGGTATACCGTGAGGCGATTGCTTGTTCTAGGATTGGCGGATGTTAGTAGAATACTAACCTCCCGCTACGGGAAGGAAATTGTAATTTACTAGGGTAGCCTTCTCATAGCCACAATAACCCGAGGTAAAGTACAATGTTGGTAATGCATAAATTCAGTCAAGCTGAATCTGCCTTGCTGACTCTAGGGGCATTATCGATTTGGTGGCTGAGACATACATCATGAATAGAGGCTTTGATTGGCTTGTTATGCGGAGATGACAACGCCTGCATACAATAACACCTTAGGCATCTATGCTGAGACTTGCTCAGCCTGATTTACTCTTGGGTATACATATTTAGGCACCCATGCGCTGCTGTTGCCCCCCAATTTCAATTAATTCATTCCTGGTATCAGGCCTCATTTTTGCTACTTCCCCACTCTAGAACTGCAGCTATGCCATCTTTTGGCAGGCTTCAAGCAGCGCTGGCTTCTGCGACAAATGAGTTGACTCTTGCAGCAGCGAACATCAATTTTGACTTCACACTAGTTAGATGTGAAGTGCCGAAAGAATTCGAACCTCTAGGAAATGCTCTATCCCAAACTCGAAAGGAAAATGCAGAAGGCGGGACAGCGCACATAACTGCCCGCAGGCTCGGTGTGCTTTTCGAGGGCATACTTGGACCAACACCTGCTCTTGTCAAATCATATGGTACCCGGGTCTCTGAGATCGCCCAAGCTGTCCAGAAGGAGAACCCACCTGAGATAGAGGAGAGCATCTTTGCAGCCCATGCAGGGGCAGATGGTACATCCATCTGGGCTGCAGCAACATCGTCCCCAACTGCATTGCATGTGCAGCTTCTGGCCTGTATGCTGGCTCGTCTCTGGTCAGCTTCGGAGGCGACATCAATATGGGTCGAGCTTATTAAGGAAAGGAGGAAACAGATCGAGAGCATGTGGAATGATGATGAACCTCTTCGATTCGCCACTGTTGCTGCCGCAGCTCAGTCAGACATATCTCGCGCTAGCCTAGCTGAGTGGGACGCAAGTGTCCGCTCTTGGCTCCGAACAGCAGACCGATTCAACCAGGAGCGGCAAGACAAGCTGATGATCCTTCTTGATAAGGTCAACCTGCCAATCAGTCATGACACAGTCTACTCTAGTGTCATAGCAGCTTGGAAGTCAGCTGTGGAAACAATGGAGAGGCTCGTCAAGGGAATGCCCCAGGCAGTCAATGAAGGCTCATGCCTCCTCGCCCTAAGTGCCTGGCACCTGTATCCAGATATCACTGTTGAGGGATCAGATATGCCGCCTCTCCAATTCTCAGATCCGCTTGTCCAGTCCGGTGGGTTCCTGACCCTTGGGCTCGCTCGCCCACGCGAAGGTGACGCCCATGGTGTTTTCTGGTCCTTATCGCTGGCGCATCTGAACTTTTACGGTCGCCCCGTCTCCAGGAAGGCTAGGTTTGACACTGAGTCTCGCAAGCTATCATTTGGCCAGTTCACTCAGGCCGTTTACGGTTCGCTATTGGGACACTGGAATCTCATAGGGCCTTTGGCACAATACCCATCTGGTATCTTTGTTGCGATGAAACAGACGATAGAACGACAGGTATCTGCTGACACGCCTGGAGCGGTGGCCAAGGCGTCACGAGATCCTTCTTCCGCCATCAATATTCTCTCGAAATTAGGCGCCGCTCACCTAGACGCAGAGCCGTTCCCAGATGATATTATCCACAAGCTCATTGCTTTGGGCAACAAACGAGCGTCTAAGTTCATTCCATCCACGGGACCGAGGCCGTTCCTTGGACTTGGCGATGTCGGAGATCTTCTGAGTAAACTCAAAGGTCCAATGGAGAGGGTTGCCTTACTTCGCAGGCTAGCTCTCTCCAGTGATTATGATCCTGATGTATTCATCATCCGGTACTTTGACGAGGAAAGGGCGTCATTTACTCCAGCTGGAGAGGAACAGCATTGTGCGTTTGCCAGTGCACAAGCCCGCCGCAATCCAGATGGTGTCTCATCAACACATGGCCAATGGGTTCCCAGATCATTTATGGATAAGTATCAATACCAGGGAGAAGTGGTTACTGAAATGACCACCGAATACTCTCAACGCCTGGCCATGCAGGACAAAGCCATCACGATGACAGCGATAGGCCCGACCGGAGAGGTAGTCTTGCAGAACTTCCATTTTGTCTGTGGTGCAGCCAGTGCCGCCATTTTCATGCAGGAAACAGCAATTGAACGCTGTGCAATGGGTGTAATCCCTCGCGCTGCCATAAGGCCTTTAAGTATAGAAGATATCAAATGGTGTTTGGACTCTGACTTCTGCGAACCAGCAAAGCTGCTTGATATTTTCCATACCGACCCGGCACCTTCAATGTTGACCTTGAGAGCACTTACCATAGCTCATAAGGTTTACCAAACGCTTCCAGACGCGGCCATATCTACTCGTTCTTTAGAGTCACCTTTATATCAAGCCAAATGGGCCAGTTCTGTACTAGATCTAAGGGCAAACCTAGATCCCGTCCGCAACATCAACTCTCACTATCAACGACTAAGCCTGAGCCTCACTAGTTCACTATCGTGTGTGGCATATTTAGAAGGTGGATTTGACTTGGAGCCAGAAAACCTAGAGCGAACTTTCGCTCTTGCTTTCGAAGAAAGTATCTACTTCTCCATGAAGGCATGATAACAATCAAAACAACACTGCTGCGCTTTACTAACAATCTGCATTAGCTCGCTTGCGACCCTTGGGATACTGCTGAAGCCCATGAACTCAAGAGATTTACCGGTAATATCGGGCGATCCGGCCTCACGCTTCTCATTCCACCCAAAACACCGATGGTCATGGAACTAGAGGAGACATCTTGGCGGGTGATGTCTTCTTCGGAGTTTGATGGAAAGTCCGAGAATTATTTCACTAAAACGTCTATGCACCTCTCCTTCACCGAATATTATGTTCCACTCGTTCGGTCTGGAGATGTGCAGGAGCAGGATAGTCAGGTTTTCTTACTAGAATCTGTCGTCTCCGTGTACGACGCGGGGCGTTGGATCGGTGACGTTGATGTATTGAAATGTCTCGCCAGCCCTCTTGTTTCTCACATGCCGGAAGAAAGTTGCAGCGGCAACCATGCCGGTCACAGATTTGTAGGTATTTCATCCCTACAAACATGGAATGACGTTCTCGATCCTCCTCCTGGCGACTGTATCATTAGAGCTCAGGGCTGTTGGCTAGCAAGGTTGGCAATTGTGACAATATTTGTCGAGGCTCAAGGAGGAACAGATGGCGAGCGTGTCTGTATTCTCTCGAGCAATACTTGTTGGGAATGTTTAGGGCCTAAGAACTTTTCACAGAATCAGCTTAGACTTGGCCATCAAGTGTCTACAGTATGTATACCTAGTATTAGTCGGTTTGTAGTATGTTGAGCCTATTTTATGCACGACTTTTAACTCTTATTCCATAAACTTAGCCTTCCTTGCTTACATGTAAATAGTAAATAATTACCTATATACATTATAAACGGCCTTGCATTACCCGATCCAAAACTAACCAGTATACCAAAGTCCAGTATCTGTCCACATTGATGCAGGTCCTGTGAATCCCCAGGCTGATCCAAACAAAATATCCTGATTTTGCGGTATGAAGCTCACAACTTGCAAGTTTTTAATTCCTCTGATCCTTCTACTACATGCATTCTGCAGGCTGCAGAACCCCGGGTATGCCTTATTAAGTACTACTGTCTCTTCCTATGCTACTCTATACTCCGATCGGCCTTTTAAGTATATAGACTTTATTTGTAAGTATAGATGTAGAAAACTAACTGAAGCAATTACTGAGCCAAGTTACAGCACGAATATACCGACATGTAAGGGTACCTAGACCTCTTTGTAGTAATTTCCAGAAACCCTGTTCGATCACTATACCAAGATTACCTCCGTCACCCAACCTGTTAAGTCTGATAGTCTCGGGAGATCTACCCGCTACAGCTTTACAGTGAAGAACCGAACCCTCTCAGATGCTTTCTTGACATATTGAAAGTCTTCCCGGGCGACATTCCCCCCAACCATCTGCACAACAAGTCCTTCATAGTGTATGCTCGTACCCCGCGGTTCCGGAGTAGAAGCAAGAGTGCACGGCTTTTGAAGGAAACAAATGATTCAAAATGTGAAGCGGAAGAGTGCAAGAAAGCCCTTGCCAAATAGGACCCTTAGATCCCACTTGAAAGCGATGGCACCACTTTCGTTCGTTCGCCGTCTCCAACTTAGGATCTCCTGGCTCCGGGGCTGTATGGGATATATACCTCAGGTCCAGCATGTCAAGCCTCATGAGTGGTGCTGTAAAAGAATGTTCCTTCTTCTTGATCCAGGACAGATTTTGTTCGTCCTTGGTTGGTGGAAACGGCTCAAGTTGCTCCACCCATGACTCCCATAGTTCAGCGGTGTCTAGGCAGAACTAAACTTGACCGGCTGACGAGAGCCAAGACCAGGTTGGAAAGTTGCCACGGCTCTCTGGTAACCTCTGCGTGCTTCTTGACCGCCAAAACAAATGTAAAACACAGTGTGACCGAAAAGCTCCCGTAAAATATTCAGCCCCATGGCGCTCTGATAAAATATCTGCGATTCCTTGGTTAGCCACAAGCCTGTCACTGGGAAACGACAAATCCATGTCTGTGGAGTGTGCCGTCAATGCAGTCCAACGCACTCCCAACGCTTCCTGTTTATCAATTAATTGGATTGACATAAAATTGACAAGAAAGAGATGGAAGGCGCACTGCCGATGGTCGTCAAAGGCAATGGTATCTCTACAAGCTCTATTCAGGCAAGATCCAAGGTTTTAACCAAATAATTTATTCATCTCCATTACCATCGATGAATCACCCATTGTTGACTCTACTCTGAATAGCCTGATTGACTAAACATTCTACTATCAAGCTGTTTCACATTACTTATCAGGACTTACATCAACCATCCCGTATGGCCTTGCCATTACTCCTTTTAATATCTCCATTGGTAGAGATATTATCGAGAACAACTGCCATAGAAACATCAGATATCATTTACCCGTAGATACTTATAGCCACCCAAACACCCATGTAAGCTCATATTGCCAATATTCATCCGCTCTCTCCATCCCAACCGCATTTCGCAAAACCACATCATAGACATACAAAATCGCAAAGCAATCCTTCAAGTATTTCTTCAGCCCCTCTCTCGCCTTTTCCTGAACTTCATCCAACCCATCTGCCAACGGATCAACAACCTTCATGTCCCCTTCAGGAGTACCCTTGCGCCGACCGGCAACCCACGACTCAGTAACCCCCAAAGAAAACCAAAAAGCTCGGTGCGGAATATTCTGTGCTGGGAAGTCATAGTTCTCAAGGGCGTGGTTGCTCAGAAACGACAGAAACTGTTCAACAGATAGTATTGCGACTCGGTGTGCTGCCCGAGACTCAACAGCTTCAATGAGGTTCAGGTAGATGTACATTTGCAGCGCCACGGTCGCGACGAGATCGAGACCAAAGGCGTGACCCCAGTGAAGACCTCGTAGGTTTGATAAGGGTACCTCCTTGGCAAGACGGACGAGCGCGGATAAAGCCTCACGCCGAGTACTCTTGTCATCGGCGGTAGCAGCTACAATGACCAACATCTTGGCTGCATCGGCGAGATTGGCATCAGCGGTGCTGTAAAATGGCTCAGCGTCGCTGTCCGGATCTTTCGCTCGGCGTTTCCAGTACTCCAGATCCTGATGTGATGGCTTCAGCGGGTTGTGCAGTGCGGAGTTATCCTCATGAGGCTCCAGACCGAAATGGCGTTCAGCGAAATACACGACATCATCGGAAAACAGCTTTCCACTTCCTTGTACTCCGTCAATCTTCGTGTTCTCTGTGTTAGAGAATTCTCTGATAGTTGCCAGAAACACGCGGTTGAAGTGGCCGATCACCGCTTGCTGCTCGGGCAAATCCAGCGCAGCTAGGCTATAGTTGCCTTCTTGTTCAGCTGGCGTGAGGGAGAAATGGGGAGCAACCAAGTGCCATGGTATCTTGTGATCAAGATGCATTTTCAGTGGTGGTCAGTGTCGTTGTTGTTGGAAAGAAGTGTTTGCGATGTCTCGGCTCAGAGATGCAAAACTCAAGCTTGTTTTGCATCCATTTCTGTGACGAAAGATACCTCTTTTTGTATATATACGCTTTAATATTGCATTTGAAAAGTATTATCAAATGCAATTATCCAACACTTCCCATTGCGAAATATAGAAGCACGTCTATCTTAAGGAAAGGATACTCGGAATAGCTATCTCTTTTGCAATCATCATGCCCAAGGAATGTTTTGGCCTAGTAGACCAGTCCTTGTTAATTGCCTTATTTTAATTGAGTAAATCTATCCGTCGCCTCTAAGCCTAGGGTGATTCTAGCAATTAACATACTCCCATTCATAGCTTGCTGGAACGTTGAAGCCGTTCGGGGCAGACCATCAGACTTTCCACTCACGTCAGAGGTAGGTAGCCGTTACATCATGACGTATCGCCCAATAAACAAGATCGATTGCGGGGAAGGACCATCAACGTCAAACCTTTTCTTCCTCAACTCCATTGATTCCCTCTCATACTTAATCAATTCATCTCATCAATTGGCAATTGAACCATCGAAATGCTCATCGCAATGCTGTGGCGGCTACCTCTTCTCCTCGCTGCGAATGTCGGCCGTGTCGCAGCTGATGGGCAGCAGGTGCTTGGCTCCGACAACACAGATCTGGATCACATCCGCGACAAGTACTGTCTGTCTTCCCGCAATTAAGGGCTTTTACTGACCTGGATAGACTGCTCGAGGCTCAGATCATACCCACCGTTATTGATGACTTCCCGCCCGCTCTCAGCCTTCGTGTGAAATGGAAGCACGACTCTGCCGACCTAGGCAACACCCTAAAACCCAATCATCTCAAAAGGGCTCCCGTAATTCATCTTGACAAAGTTGAGTCTGACGCACTTGCTGGCGCTCAACTCTCCAAGGACATGTCGTACGTCATCGTCCTCACCGATCCCGACGCACCATCCCGCGATGACCCCAAATGGTCCGAATTCTGCCACTGGATCGCAGTGAGCTCTCAGCTAAAATACTCAACGAACTCCAAATCCAAACATCACCTCAAGGACATCATCAAATACAAACCTCCTGCTCCACCGCCCAAGACCGGGAAGCACCGCTATGTCTTCTTCACCTTCATCGCAGCCAATGGAACAACCAAGAAGCTGCACCTGAGCAAACCAGAGGAGAGGAAGCACTGGGGATCGGATCATGCAGGCCATGGCGTTCGTGAATGGGCGCATGAGAATGGTCTTATTCCCATCGGTAAGGTCGATCTAATTCCCATCTCGTTCACCGAGGTTAACGATATCCAGCTGCGAATTTTATATACGCGGAAAACGACGAGCAGTAGCCCTTGCACTTCACATGCCAAACGCACTCTCCCTAGCATAAATGATTCGAAAAGGAAGCTCATTCATATACTTTGAACGGTTCCTTGGTTTTCACTCTTCAATTCAAGAATGTCATTCGTCGTACCGGAGGTTGTTCCTGATTTAGAAACCGAGCGGTTTTAGCATCGTGCAACCCCGCACCAATACACGTTGTCTATGCCACCACGATCTATGCAGATCCAGGTCCTTGACGCTTAAACAAGCAGGTCGGCATATAATAGGCACTACCGGTCTTGGCGGGCAGAGCGAGTGATTTAGTCGAGCTTTGGAGCGTGACCTTCGGAGCAGAGATCATTACTGCTTTAGGAAGGTAGCTCCTAGTCTCGGCATGCGATGATCGGAGGTGTACTACTGCTTTTAACATTAACTTCGGAGAATCTCTTGTTCGGAGAAGAAACTTTTTTTGATGGGCACGAGACTATGAATATATGTATAAATACTTCAATGGATCGCCATAGTTTTTAGGTTTATCGGTCATCAGTGCAGTCATCAAAATGAAGTTCAGCGCCTCTCTCCTCACCCTCATCCCAGCCGTCTTCGCCCTTCCTACCGGCGAAGATGCTGCTGTCTCTAAGCGCCAGAGCGCCAACACAGTGACAGATCAACTCCTCTTCAGCGTCACTCTACCTACATTTACCGCTCGTCGCAACGCCCGTGATCCTCCTACCCTCGACTGGACTTCTGATGGCTGCACTTCTTCCCCTGACAACCCTTTCGGCTTCCCTTTCGTGCCTGCTTGCAACCGTCATGACTTTGGATACAACAACTATCGCATCCAGAGCCGTTTCACTGTTAGCGCCAAGGCTCGCATTGACAGCAACTTCAAGACCGAGTAAGCCTCCTGTCCAGTTGTACATTTTATGAAAACAGGGCTAATTATAAATAGTTTGTACTACCAATGTACCTCCTCGAGTGCTGGTGGTGCATGCCGTGCGTTAGCTGATGTTTACTACGCTGCTGTCCGTGCTTTCGGTGGCGGTGATGCTACTCCCGGCAAGCGAGATGAGGATCTTGTTAAGGAATATGAAGAGGCTGTTGAGATTTACAACAAGGCTGTCGAAGAAGCACAGGCGAAGGGCGAGCTGCCTCGTCTTGACTAAGAGTCAGAGGGCATTTTGAATACCTGTACATAGTAAAACTTACGAGAACATATTTATGATCTACCACCAACAATATCATCATTGTTATTGTCTGCACTCTTGCTATATGTAGAAGCACTATGAAAACTGGAAGCCTACGTCCTGAGACAGGAAAGATTAAGGTATATAAACGTAAATTTGACTAGAAAGGAGAGCTCATATCCAGACCTATAATTTGCAATACCAGATAGATATTCTTGTATGACTCTAGTCCAAACATTCTGTATTCTCCAATGGCGGCCCGATATCAAACCCATCTGCCTCTAGCTCCCGCTTGCACAATGCCCAGTCTTGCTTAAGAGCCGGAAAATAGGTCCAGGACCACGCGCATCGCCAGTCATGGCTGCTAAGGGTACCATGTTGTGCCTGTCCCTTATTATACTGGCTGAGAATACTTGTTATCCGGGCCGACGCACTAGTATTATCAAGTATGCTGGAGCCTTTTCGTTTGTCAGCTGCTTCTTTATGGCGCATGGCCTCGTAATTGCTCTCGTAAATAGGCCGGCCTGAATAGAAAGACTCTTTGGCCCTGAGAAGGTCTTCCTTATGCTCCACAACCATCAAGTGATCTTGTGCCCAAAAACGCTCAACCTGACGCAGGTACAGTGTCCATAAACCCAAGGCCTCATCGTCGTTTCCAGACGCAGCATTTAAAAGTCCGGCAAATAGCACGAGACGAGCGACTGCGTAATCTTCCCCCTCTTGTCCTTGTACGCGCATCCTCTCTCTTATCAGGGCCAGTGCCTCATCGAGCTGGCCTAGCAGTGCAAATGCGCGCGCGCGGTACCACACAGCTGCATTCGTTATGGGATTCGACGAGCCTTTGCTTTTGAAAACCTGGTCGATGAATGAGTCTAGAAAGGAGCCAGCCTCTTCCATGTACCCGGAGCGGCACAGAATAGATGCAAGATTTGTCTTGGCTGACAACCAACGCTCATCGTCTCCAATCTTGTCCTGTATTTCTGTAACTAGTGCTTTGACTTTATCGCGATTGTCGGGTTGGAAGAACCGAACGTGGTCTAGCTTGGCCTGCAGACTCCGGCTGTGGTAGATGCCCAGGACCTCGTCCATCTTGTTCAAGACACTCTCCCAAGCTGGCGATAATGGATCTATGGGGTGGTTTTTGTCTTGGAGAAACTGTGAGACAAACTCGGTGATGTGGCTGAGAAGCCTGAATTTGCTGTTGATTGCCAGTCCACTGTCTAGGTCCATATCTTCTTCGTTTAGCACCGCTTTGGCGTGTGGCATGAGTTGTTGCATCTCGGTCCAATTGTCAGCGTTAGGCACAGGGAATGTATTACACATGATAGCCATGGCTTTGGCTGCCATTTCCCTCGCCGTGTCGTGGTTGCTCTTTACCTGGCTGCGCAGGACAATGTGTACTAGCCGGTGCAGTGTCACGGCTCCTTCATCACGACCTTTAGTTAAGGCAGAGTATTGCTCAAGAAGCGACAAGGCTTGGTTGATTTGGTCGTTTGTAGGAGGTGATATATTTCCTGCTGGCTGCCAGTCGTCCCATTCAGGGCCACGAACAAAGATTCCAGTAGTAAAAAGCTCATAGTTGTGGGCGTAGCAGATGAAGAGTGACCGAGGTATTTCCTGCCTCTCGTAGAAGCTCATAAGTTGGAGAAGCTCCATGGCTAAAGTATTCTCCGACTGTATTGCATCGAATGTTATCACCAACGTTCTTGCCACGGCGCTGTACCTCCCGTCTTCATCTTTGAGAACCGTGGCTTCAAGTTCATCAAGTCGGTTTACAATCAGGCTTCGAGCATATCTCAAACGCTGCAAGTATCTCGAAATCTGTTCCTTTCTCTTGGACAAATAGGCCGTAGCTTGTATCAAGGCCAATGGTAGATATTCGAGTTCCGCTGCTAATTCTGCCAGGTTCGCGTCATCGTATTCCGCGGAAGCGAGCTTTTTTCGCATCAACTCAATGCAGTCATCGGTTGTCATCTCGTCGACCCTGACAGTTCTGTCTGGGTCTGCCAGGATCTCCGCTATCTCTCTGCTCCGTGTGGTAAAGAGTATAGATCCATGGTCGCAGCTCGGAAGATAGTCTCGTAGCATTACTGGAGCTGTGTCTAGATCCTTGGTTTCACCAAATACCTTGACGTCGTCAATGTTATCAACCACCATTACCCAAGAGCCTTTCTGCGCTTGATCTTCGAACCACTTTTTAACATTCTCAAGCATGGTAGTTTGGGGTAGCTGTGGGTTGTCGACACCACAGCCTGGAATCTTGCAGCAACGAGCGATCTTGGAGTATGACTCGACAAATCGCTCATTGCTGCCGCCATGTACCCAAAACACTGAGAGTCCATGTTTCTCATTCATTTCAGCGACCCACTGCACGGCTAGTTGTGTTTTCCTGTTACCTGTATGTCAGTTAACCCTGTTTAACCTGGATCATGTTATTTACCCCATGCCTCCGACTCCCCAAATGGCTGCTCGTTTGTGGATCGTTTCTGCAGGGCCAGTCGCACTTATACCCAAGCAATCTGTTAATTTGTCAAGCTCTGACTTTCGACCTGAGAAAATTGGGTTCTTAGATGGCGAAAGGAACCAAACACTCGACTTATTTGTGTGACCGACCGTGCGGTGCGGGAGCCCCTGTGTCAGGCGAGGAGGTTGTTTTTCTGCTATACTTAACATGTCTTTGATTGTGCTCCTCACAGCTTTGTAGCCTTCATCTGTCGCACTAGTAAATTTGACCATGCTGCTGTGATCCGCATGTATAGCTCTCCCCCTGTCACCATCAAGTGTCGCCGATTCTTTCGGCACAATGATACCTCCTCGCTTGCTTGGTAGTGCTTCCCAGAAGCAGCTGATAGGGATTCGCCTAGATTCCTGTAAGGCTTGAAACTCCTCGTCCAAACGGTCACGCAGCTCGGAGCTCTCGTTCAATATTTCGAGGAGGTTGATATTTGTGTCCATGAACATGCCAAGCAAGGACGCAGCGGCTATCGCAGATCTGGATTGCTTGCTTCCGCGATGTGGCGTTCCCATGAAAATTATGCCGACTGTCGATTTCCAGATATCGTGGTAGTTTTGGGTCGATCGTCGGTGTGAGAAGCACATTGCCTAAAGTCGATGCTCAGTCAATGCATGCCCCGTAAGAATGGTCTTGGACATTCAACAGACATCTTTACAGACGATGCCACCTAAGCTATGGCATACAAACATAATCTTTCTCCCCACTGTCCGTGTGTCGGAACGAAAGTCCCTCAGAGTGTATACCAACTCACGGGCGTGCTCCGAGGCAGACTCGGCGGGTATTCTTCCCGATGCACTATCTTTGTTGATGACTCTTGCGTCATAGCCGAAGGAGAGTATCCGGGATCTGGGAATGTCTTTCGATAACAATAGCTTAGGCCAGGGTTCAAGCTTGACTCCATTAGAGCTCGTCCCTCGCCAAGTTTTGTGCCGATCACCCATAAGACCATGAACGAAGACGATGCTGACAGGCTCAGAAGTTAGTCAGTCTGCAACGAAAATGAAACCGGAGAAAGCAACGGACTCAGTGTCAGCATCTGGCCCAGCATCGTGCCAAGTAGTGAGACCGAGAAGCTTCGGCTCATTACTCGCTGGCGGCTGCTCTGGCCTAGGGCGCCCGCGACTAGTAATATTTCTTAGCATTTCGGGTCCCTACGTACGTAGCATTGTGAATCTGCAGCCTAATCCAGCCCGTGCCGATATTTATTGGGGACATGTCATTATGTAAGCCAATTGCATTCTGTTATGTATTCATCTGCCGAAGTTCACCCCGCAGTCAGTCCTTAATAAAAGCTACTGGTTCATTCTCTATACTCCTGACTCTTCCCGGGCTGCATCAAACCTTCCTTACGGTTACCATACTGTTTGTTTCTTTTTCATCAAAGTTTCAAACTCCTTCTGACTCCAGAGACAACTCCTGGCTCAGAAACGGAGCATCAGCTTGCTCCCATGGATGTTCAACCTCCACTTGTCTAATCATATCCGCGTACTTCTCGCCCCTCGGCTTGATGTCGTATGGGAAGTCACGAATATGAGCAATCATGCCTGGCGTAACGCTTACCTCCGGCTCAATCTCCTTGCCACGCCCATCAACAGCCTTCTTTATGTCGAAAGTAGATAACAGACGTGAGATGCTAATAAACAGGCTCTCGTCAGCGAGGAACCGCCCAGGACAGACTCTGCGACCGAACCCAAATGAGGCGAAATTGGGATGCGGTTCATTTCGTGGTTCTAGATATCTGTCTGGGTCAAAGGAGGATGGATCTGAATAGATCGATGGGTCATGGAGGAACCACCATGTTGCTGGCAGGAATGTTGCTCCTTTAGGGATGACAAACTCTTTGTAGTGGATATCCTCGTCGGCTGTGTGGACGATTCCCATTGGGGTTACAGGGATCCATCGGAGTGTTTCCTTGATCAAGGCATCAACGTAAGGAAGATTAGGCCGATCTTCGAATTGGGGAAGTCTACTTGTCCCAACAACCGAATCGATCTCTTTTTGCGCTTTGCTCTGAACATCTGGGAATAGCAACATGGCCAGAACAAAACTATAAATAGACGAAACAGTGGTATCAGCGCCTCCAGCATACATGACAGCAGCGGTTTGCTTAATGACTGCCTCGGTCTCTTCGTCCACAACGCCATCATGTTCCTTGATAAGTGAAGCAACATAGGATGATCGATGAGATTGCTTTGCCATTTGCTCGCGAACGAAGCGGTACGGCACGTCAACTACCATGCACATATTGGCGTTCCAGTCTCGTGCGATGCGCTTAAAGGACATTCCTGGGAGGGTTTCTGGGAAATAACGAAGGATCGGCAGTATATCAACAGCCCAACCCATCGGGACGAAGGCGAGTGAGGCATTATGCATCATCTTCTCGATCAGCGACACCAATGGATCTGGTTTGTGTGGCTCCGAGTTGTAACCATATGTCATCTTTAGTATAATAGCGCTTGCTTCGCTGGGAGAGGGGAGTCAGCAAGAGACTGTTAATTAAAAAGCACAGACACTTACGTCTTGATATGTGCTGAAAGCTTCTCTGGGCTTTCCAGTATCCTCAGCAGAAGCCGGCGCGATTCCACATCTTGAACGTCTCGAAATCGCGATGCCGCAGTTTTAGTGCCCAGTTGCTGGTGGACCAGTTTTCGATGTTGCTTTAACGATTTATCGTATGGCTTAAAACTGAGGATCTGATTGTAGCCGCACATTATGTTACCAAAGAAGAACTGTGGCCGTCCGGACGTCTTGATAGAGGTTTTTTCCAAGATAGCGTCCGCAGCATCACGATCATGGAGGATGATGAACGACTGACCAAGGATGGATACATGGCTGATGGGACCATATAGGTCTTTAAACTTGATCCAATGTTGGTATGCTGGAGTGGTCGCATCTGGCATGTCTCTGATGTTGCCGAGGATGGGTATGGGCTTGGGGCCAGGAGGGAGGTTTTTGCGAGGTCTGGTGCGCAGGAAGAGTATTATGAGGGCAACCGCCACAGGAATCAGGACTACAGATAACATGGCGACGTTTTTATTCTCTGGCTAACGTAATAAAATGAGATGATATACTTAAATTGAGGGAGCTGTAGGCATTAGTTCAAGGTCCATTGACCGCGAGAGAGCGGCAAGATCTGTATATATACGCCCATGCTTCTGAGCCAGGAGTGCTTCCATGTCACGTTGCTTCATGACGTATTATGCCAAACCTCACGCACGCAATATCACGACGACGCCACGTCCTTATCACGTTGCTGCATGACGTTCGGTATGGTATAAAGCCCCGTCTTGATCTCCCTTGGCATTCCTCATCAGGCGACTCACACACAAAGTAGAGGGCGGCGATTTTACTTGGCTTTGAGGCCTGGTGCATCAATCACCATTTATCATCCATTAGTGTACGAGGACCAACCATGGAAGATGAGGAGGCAAGAGATCACTGCCACCGATAACAGACGCAGCCCTCCCATAAGGGAAATACTACCAGTTGTGAAGATCCGAGAGCCTACAATGAACACTTGAAAATGACTGGATGGCTGCAGGAGACATGTTTCCGCGGTTTGTCTTGCCTGCATATCACGAACGAATTGCTTCGGCTTGTGACCAATCAGAAACATTCTAAAGATCATATCATCTACGGATATGCAACCAATGTTGCAGTACCCGCGTCATGTATGTGCTGGACAACGAGGAGACACTGTGGGAAGCAATTGGACATGCAACGCTGTGGCTTATCACCAGTGGTCTCTCAGAAAGATACTACACGGCGTTGCGGCTTTGGAGATTACCATTATAGCTAGCGGTCACTCGGCACTGTTAATTAGGCTTTAAGAACTTTCATCTCCTTCTCGCCGTTATAAGGTCGTCACTTCTGAGATGTTTTTGATGTATGCCAGCTGTCTCCACGATGAATACCGATTCCTGACGGCTCGGGCCGCTGAAGTCTTCGTCCGCTGACCCGAATATGTGATAGCTCCATCCTGTGCCACTTATGTGCATCCGTCGACATATATCACCTCCCCCGTTAACACCTTCCTGATATATCGATGTGCTCGACACAACCCCTCTTTTGTTTCCGCGATGGTCAAATCAGTTACTCGCCATCAGGGAAGTTACCAGAGTACTGCAGCTGCGTGGTTCAATCGTATTGCCTAACGATGATCAAGGCCAATGAGACTACCATGAGTCACGACTTTTACTCTTACTTACCATTCACAGTATATGAGCTGCAGTACGACAAAACTACAATTACGCCTTGTAATTAAGAGTATTTGCCAAGGTAGTCACGACTCCCTCTAAGTACCGGAGTATCAACGCCAGTCATTGTCAAAGCGACTACTTTCCGAGTTATCTTAGCTTCCGAATGCGTTTCAAATATATCAGAGACCTTGTAAGTGCTAGGGGCAGGGAGTGTTGTGGTGTATGCGGAGGTGGATTCAAATAACGGTTGAGGTTTATGACAGTCCAGCGGAACATAGGAGGCTTACAGGTGCAAATTACCCATCACGGGTCGTCAATGCGGTCTACCATCATACATAACGCAAATTACAATAGAAAAGAGCTAAAAACAACGCAATGACCACAGAAATTATAACAGGAGCGATTGAATCTTTACTTGAACGTCGTCTATTCCTCCGATTTGATATTGTTGTTAAATACCCTGGGCTTTATCAAAACTCGCCCGTTCTAAAGCCGGCCCAATCCTTCAGCACCCAAGCCCGTAACCCCGCTCTCCCAACCAACCATGACTCGCAATGATATCAGGGCCTAGTCTCAAACAAGCAATTAGATTGCCCATTCTCGAGTGGGGCTTGAATTGCGGAGGCTCAGCCGGACATTCACCTTGTTCCCCGCGCAATCTCTCCCTTATCTGAGCCCGGATCGCTGGGCCCGGTATATCTCAACAATGTTAATACCAACGACCAGCTTGACTCCAACTGTCAGACCCCAAATACAATCATCGACAATGCCAAAGACTCGCGTTCGTGTAGTAGAAGGTTCATGCTGGCCCTGCAAGAAACGCAGAATCAAATGCGATCTCGCAAAACCAACTTGTTCGCGCTGCGCCAAAGTCGGCGCTGCGTGCGATTATAACGAACGCCTCATTCGCTGGAGTACGCGGCCTGCTGTGACAGTACCGGCAATCTATCAGGTTACTACACGCGATGAACAACTCGCTGCATCACTAGCAGTATATGAGAAACGCTCGTTGGATTACTTTCACGGGAGGTTCTGGCCTTTGTTGACGACTGCTTCGAAGCCCTGTGCGCCGCCGACTTTTGTTGCGCTACAGCATCGCGTTGTGCTACTTGCGACATGTGTTCTTGCCGATTCGCATCGGTGGTTGCAGGATGGACGGAATAGTCGGAGTATTTTGAACGTTAAGAGGATGGAGTGTTTGGCTGCGCTGAGGGAAGAGGTCGATGGGTGCTGTTCGAAAGAAGATGGGCCTTTGCAGACGTTGTTGTTTGCGGTGCTATTGCTCTACTTTCATGATGGGTTTCTTGAGTGTGCACAATCATCGGCATCAACGTCAAGTCATAGAGATGGAGTCTTGGCCATCGTCAATCAACTCGGCGGCATGACCGCTGTACTCGGCACAGGACAAGACCCGCTTCATATGCTGCTCTCAGAATTTGCGACGACAGATCTCACCAGCGCTATGCTCACGGGAAACCCGCCTTCGTTCCCACCGGCTATTTGGGAGGTTGTTGACCGAGGGCCTGTTTGGTGGGGACGAGATACACAGGGCTATTGTTCACTATCGACGGTCTTTCAGCAGATTTCGAGTATGGCGCTTTATCTGGATGCGACGACACGGATGGTTGAGGAGTTCTCGATTGAGAGGATACGTATTTTTGAAGCGGCTCTTCGACCTACGTATGCATCCCTGGCGATTGAAGATTTGACTTCACCTCGCTCATCGCCCGTTGATACACCGTCGACCGAATGCGACACAGAATCAGCACAAGCATTCAGCCTCGTTCGTATTTTCCAGCACGCCGCGCTGATCTATCTATACCGAGCTGTCTGCGGTCTACCAGCGAACCATGCTCTCGTTCAACAACATACCCAATCTTGTCTCGACTGCATCTTCAGCATTCAGAAACCATCGAAAATCCTCAACTGTGCTGTACTACCTATCTGTATAGCAGGAGCGCACTCACAATGCCCCAAGCAACAGCGCCTAGTCCGTGGCCTTGCAGGATTTATTTATGATGAGATACGATTTGCTTCGGTCCATTCGGTCATTGCGGTTTTGGAGGATATTTGGAAACGAGCGCCGGACGAGGATATGACGTGGAACGAGATGTTTGCGAATTTGAACCCTCAGGCTATTATTCTCTGAGCTTGATTGTATACTACTGGCTTTGGAGGCGGAGTTTATTAGGAAGTTCAGGTTCACGAGAAGCGTCTTCTTGGCTTCGAAAGAATAAACATTGTTCAATTTGGTTCAGAGATGACATTACCAGCACTGACAACCCTTCAAAGCCTTTTACCATCATTAGTCTTCCTCCTATACTCATAATGATCACAGCTTGTCCCTCGGAAGTCCATCTCGATATTTCCCTTAGTCAGGATTCCATGGCCTCATCCTCACTGAACCATAGCTTGTTCATCAACCCCAGATTCTTCACCAACACGAACAACCAGCTTTCCCCTAGTTCTACCTTCTTTCAATCTTGCGTAAGCCCTCCCCGCATCCTCCAGTCCGAACTCCTCCTCAATGACAACCTTGACCTTTCCATCCTTTATCCAATCCACAATCTGTCCAAAGTCCTTTCTGTTCGCCGTCACAGAGTGGTACTTGAACTTTCTCTTGCCACCACCTAGCCATCTCGGTAACAGATTGATAGCGAGGAGGGATTTGAATGTCTGAAAGCGTGGTGGTAGACCGACACAAACGTACTGCCCCTCTGGTGTGAGATACTGATGGGACTGCCAGTAGAGATCTGGATCGTTAAAGAGTGTGTCGAGAATGAAGTCAAACTTGTCTTCTTTCTGTTTGAGCACTTCAATCGGGTCTTCGGATTTGTAGTCAATAGTCTCATCAGCACCGAGGCTTCGACAGAATTCGGCATTGGAAGCGGAGCAAGTGACGGTGACATGAGAACATCCTAGAGCTTTCGCGACTTGGATGGCAAAAACACCAACCCCTCCACTGCCCCCATTGATAAAGACCCTATCACCTTCTTCCACAAATGGCGACATGCACTGTATAGCAGTTGTTCCACAAATCCCGACGCAGGCTGCATCTCTGAGCTCAACACCATCCTGCAACACCGCCATTCCCTTACTCCCAACGACAACATACTCAGCAAGAGTTCCACCAACCGGCAACTCTGTCCTTCCGAATACCTTCTGACCGGACTGAAATTCATTAAGTGTCGTGGAGACTATCGTGCCAGAGAAGTCAAGACCTGGCGTGACAGGCTTAGAGAACATGAAGTTAGTCAAAGGCATTTCGGCGATTTTGTAGTCGAGATGATTGACCGATGCGTATGCGACTTTGACGAGGGTTTGTCCTTTAGACAGCGATGAAGCATTTTTGGGTAGTTTGGCGTCAGTGACGAGAGTGAGATTCTTTTCGATGCCGCCCTTGATTGAGCGCCATTGTGCGGCGCGCATGGTGAGAGGGAGCGTGCTATTTGATGTCATAGCTGCAATTTCTGAGATTGACTATAGGTAAGTATGATAGGTATGGAACGTGATTCGAGATTACATCAGAGACGTTGGCGAGACTTTATAGAGTTACTGGTCTTTGGAGTTTTCGCTCACGACAACGTGTTGATGGCAAATGATCAGGTGCTGTCGTCTTGGCTGAGGTGGTCTGATTCGCAACCAACCAATCGAGACAAAGATGTCGGATTCCGTGCCATTAGGGTCTGTGAAGCTTAAATTATTGGCAGTAGTAATGTCTCCCTTGTACCCGCGACTGTTGTCAGAAATGTCCTGGTAGGTCTGGTCTCATGATTTCTTGTACTCAGTCAGGAGGAATGCGATTGACTGGGCAGATCGGACCCCGCGGCGCCTCAAAGCTTGGTTATATGTGGGCTGATGAGAGCGGAGACAGTGGTGAGACTTATAGTCCGACGGCGTAATAAAGGCTTCGTGATCGCATATGTTTTACTGACCTTTCGTTGCACACAGTTGCCGTCAGACGGGTTTGAAGAACGAGTAGGCTTCGAGGCATGTTAGTCGAATGGGGTCACACATGGAGGGGGGAAAATTCAAGAAGCAATGATCGTGTATTCATTGTAAAGTTGAAGAAGAATGAAGTAAAGTCTATCTGAAACCATCTCCTCCAAGTAGGGACAGAGATGGTTGTTTTGGGAGTTGAAGACTATCCAGCTGCCTTTCAAGCCAGCTCCCAGAGCATGTCACTATCCATCTAGGCAACAACTGCAGGCACCAGAAATCAATCTAGCTCTAAGGGTAGTGAGTGTATCCATCCTCACCAGGTTGGATAGTTCCGTTAGTAATGGCCGCAGCATGACCGCGAGCCATGTAGCCAGCAGCAGGGTAGTACTGTCCAAGCCAAGGGTAGATCTCCTTGGCACCAGGCTTATTCCTCCAGTCTCGCATCAGCTCACAAATGATGGAAAACAGGCTGACGACCTGGACGCCAGCATCGCGCATGCGATCGTTGGAAATGTCGCGGATGAGAGCTGTTGTGGTGCCGGAAGCCTCCATGTTGGCCCAGACGGAGTAACCGGCTTCACGGAGGGAGAGAGCGAGGAATGTGGTGCAGACATCTGTGGTGATACCGGCGAGGATGACCTGGGACTTGTTGGTCGCCTTGAGGGCGTCACGGAATTCTTCGCTGTCCCAGGCGTTGACTTGGCCTTGGCGTTGGACGAGAGGGGCCTTGGGGTACATTTCGCGGATCTCTCGCATGAGAGGACCGTTGGGGCCTGAATTGTCAGTAAGAACCTTTGTTATATTCGAGTTGAGAACTTACCCTGATCAGCGGAGGTAGTCAGAATAACAGGCAAGTCGAAAGCCTGACCGATGGCAGCGTGGGCCATAGACTGGTGATGATACAGAGTAGGATCCCAATCTCTGGTCAACTGGTAAAGGCCTTCCTGGATATCGACCACGAGGAGAACCTAAAAGTCTTAGCATAGTGAAGAAACAGACAGTGCCGGGAAACTCACGGCATCGTTCTTGTCAAGACGCTCATACTTGAAACCGCTCTTAGCAAGAGCAGAAACAGAGAGGACGCCAGCGGCGATGATGGAGCTGAACTTCATTGTCGAAAGCCTTGGGTTGCTGGTTGGTACTGAAGCTGTGAGATGGCTGTTGAACCTGAAGAACAATCTCTAACTCGGGTTTATATCCAGCTATATATACTCAAGAACTTAACCGTGGATACTTCACATGCGCGTTGTGAACTCTGCATACTGCAATCTTTGCATGCTGTATAATCCTGGAGTGAAAGGCCCTTGATTCCATGCTCAAATGCACAGTCGGAAATGAAGTCCGCCTCAGTCGGCCGAAGCTATCCTCACGCATATTGGCTCAAGCCACCACGACGCCACGAGGAGCTATACGAATATGCATAAGGTCGGCCCGCTGCGAGACCCGGTCCAAGGTGTACTGTCATGCGCTTGTAAGCCTTTGGCGCGGGTTTGTCATCATGCAGCTATCCCTCCCCGCTTCGTGTAGGGTTTAGTAAGCTGTAGTCACCATCTTTCTCAGCAAGAAGCCCCAGTTTGAATGCCACGGCGATGTCAAAAGATGGAGATCTACCGACGGTTAGTGTTTAGTCGGGGAGTTATTGACCGTTGAGTTGAGGTTATTTTTTCGTGGCTTGATGGTGTTATCGTTGCGGGTCGGCACTGAAGCTAACCCTGGCTCAAACCATGGCAAGGATCCCGATGTCCCGATTGGCGGAGTGAAGCGATAGTGCTTCTTGAAGGCCTCGGTGAGAAACTCATTACTGACGCATGCTTTGGTAATCCTCTTTGTCCAATGCAAATCACGACTGAGGTCCAATTGCCCCCTCTTTTAAGTCTGTAGTGTAACGGCTCGATGGGGAAGATATTGGTGGGATCAGAACCCTTAGACCCTTCATATCGATAGAAGGTGGTATTATACATGTGTTATGCAGCACTCGGGCCTCTCGGCCCAGTTTGAACAAGTAAAGAATCTCCCAGTGACAGTGGTTTGTTGCGTGACAAAGAATAAAGAAGGTTCACGTTGCATTGCCTTTCTGTGTAACCCGACGACGTCGCGACAACTCCCAGTGATTTGGAAAGCTTAGATGTAACGAATAAGCTGAAGTATAGGGAAGTTTTCTTCATCCTGCTAAGTCAACATTCGGAAGAGCTCTGTATGGGCGTCTTTCTGTAGCACCTGATATAATAGTGATGTGTAGCTTCAGCGTTTGGCATTTGCGGCAAACAAACTGCAGACAAGATACCTACCCTATCGAAGGGACATATTTATTCTCATAACGTGGTAAAATAGAATAGTAGGTCTATTTTAAGGACGAATGGTACATTTTGAAGACTGAAAGTGATTTCGCACGACATAATAGTCAAACTTGACTTTATTTCTTTTGTGGAACTTCATCCCGCTATAATTACCATCTCTTCTACTGGCCTGCGTGACCTAATGCTGGAAACCGTCAACACCAGCCTGAAGCTGCTACGTATTCGCACCTTGTGCCCAACTCGTCTGTGATAACGACTACTCGTGCTTTTCCGGTACACGAGTCGGCCGTTCACTGTCGCCTTTCAGGTAGTGATGTGTTTAAATATATGGGAGCAAGATAAAAATAATAGGCCCTTTTTATTACACATTATTACTTTATCATCATTTTAATATAAGTAAAACAGTTAGACATATCCCACTTTTAATAGTCAGCATGATGTCCAATTCCACTCATTCTTGCTTTTATTAACCGTTCTGCAGTATTAGATTGCTTTCATAAGGTTACCTAAGTTAGATTAACTAGTAGGGACGATACTGAGTCTAGTTAACGATCTTTGATCGAGCATACAGACAATAAAGAACGAAATTATTCTTACTAAGTAATGTACCCAACAGTTAACTGGCTTCGTAGGAGGGGTAGAATATGTTATTTACTTCTAGCTAGTTTAGGGTCTCTAAAGAGATGAAAGTAGTTGGGTCAAAGGCAACCCTCTCACAGAGCACCAAGGTTGGCGTTGTAATCGCATATGCTACAGGTCTTCAACTCGAGATCCAAATCTATATCATACCTGGTTGGATATATTTATATAGCTCACGTAATAGTCTGAGCTTCTTAAGTGTAGACTTTACCTCATATATCACATGCTTTGAAGTGGTAACAGAGTCTGAGGAGCTACTGCTTGTCATTATCGTGGATGAGCCACGCTAATACTCATGGAGCAAAGCCCCGCTTCGTAAGGAGAATGCTTTGGAGTGGTAAAGGCTTAACAGAGCGTTTCCGTGATATCTTGAGCCAATAGGACATATCGTCGTTATGATGCGAATGTTGCTGATGTGGTGAGTGTAAGATTCGTGGCTGACTGAAACTGTTCAGCTTGCCTTTTTGGTTACATTCTCTGACCATACAGATCACGGGGTGCCCAAAGTAAGCACACATGATCCAGCCTCATTGTCTCGGACTGCCCGAGACGAACCTGGTACTTATACCTATTTCAGCTCTGGGACTCGAACAATCAGTATCATTGCCTTCTATAAGATCTGAGTGCTATCCGCGAGTTATCCATCAACTGTCGAAAAATAGCTCATCACCAAAACCTGACTTCCTCCTTCAACTCACTTCTTACTCCCGCTACTCGCCTTTTTAAAGAACGTCTGCTTCCGGTATGTCTATCGTTGCTGACCACTAATCCCCCTCTGACAAGAGCAAAGTATCAGATATAATGGACGCAAACAACCAACTTGATCAGCATGTTGTCTAGGTCGATGGGACTTGGCAATGCTGGTGGCTTTCCCTGCTCGAGATCGCCCGACTTACTGGCAAGCTTAAGCCACTTTTCGAAACTCCAGGGAGTCACTTCTACAACTATTGGAACACCCGTCAAGGGCCAAGAGCGATTCCTGAAGTTGGACAACTGCCAACTAGCATAGTGTACATCGACCAGGGTGAGCCGATTCCAGAAGACCGAGTACCGAACCCCTTCCCCAAACCAGAACGATGGGTTTACGGGCCTGTTTGGCAGAAGAAGATCATGTACTATCTTCTTGACCGAGACAACGATCGACCTTGGTCTCAACCCAATGCATCATCTATTAAAAGCGTGCGAATAACTGCGCTGACAAAGTTGCTGGGGTACTTGGGAATACCTGGCATCACGTTTGGCACTCCATCATCGAGCAATGCCTTTAAGCTTAAGGGTAAATTGATAGTTCTATCACGGGGACAGAATGTGCTTACGGATAGGAGCAATGAGGGTGCTGGGCCGGGTCACTCGATGTCGGGCACCGTGGGCTCGCAAGATGCAAACGGTTCCCCTGGAGACAGCATTCGTGTGTATAATCAATCCATGTCGAAGCAAGACTTTGTTACGTTTGACCTAGAGCAGGATTCAAAGGAATCAAGGAAGTATACCTTGGTCAGCAGCTCTGGGGAGACACTTACTTAGTTTATGGCTGTTAATATCGCGTAGGAT